ACACAGGCACTAAGTCAAGGAATCTTGCAAGCACTAATTGTAACGTTAATCCGTCAAGTCAATAAGCTGTAACCACTGAATTCCACATTAAGTGATCAGTGATTTCATTCTCGAAAGCCCCAAAGGCAGAAAACAGACAATTACAGTAACATGAACATGAATAACATGTTCACGTCTCTTCCAGGGGCTGCGTCACGGAATCTTCATGGCTTTATTTGTACCAATTGTAACGTTAATCCGCAGACTGAAGTTTGACGATATGAGACTTCTTTGTCAAAGTAAGGCGATGACCTCCGTTGGTTAATACACGTATGCGTCCATCTTGGGTCCAGATGCTTTTGAATTTGTTTTTGTGATTTGACTTGATTTCTTTGAAAAGTTCAGATCTTGATCGGGTCAAACTCTCCTGAATGAAGATGGGAATTCCTGGTAGATCTCTCAGTAGTTTCCGGGATTGATACACACGGTTTCTGACGTCATAGTTGGTGAACCGTATGATTATACCACGTGACCTGCCCCTTTTCGCGCCGAGTCGATGCGTCCTGTCGATGTCGCCATTTTGTAGATTTATGCTAAGACTTTTCTCACAGACTCCTTTCACAATTTCATTTGTATTTTCATCTTCATTCTCTTTCAGACCATGAAAAATAAGGCAATTCCTCCTCGAATATTGTTCTGCTTCATCTTGTTGCTCTCTCATTTGTTCAATTTCCTTTTCCATTCTTGTAATCCTCTCATCTCTTGTCGTCAACTCAAACTCAAAAGTCTCTCTTAAGTTTTCACCGACTTTTTGAGTAATAACGGTGGTTAGTTCCTCAATGAGAAGAGTTTTTATTTTACTTACAAGCATATCAATGATTTCGCTTGCCTCAAGAGCTTTCTGCACTTCTTCTCGTACATTTGTATTGTCTCTCGCGAGATCATCGGCACCGCGTTTGCTCCTCGTCATGATGGGCTTTTCACTAGGCATATATATATCACAAGGTCGAACACTGATTACCAACCAAATATCTCTGAAGAAGATTCAATATCCTGGTAAGAATGCAAATATATCCACAAAGACCACGGAAGATAAAGGCAACGATGAGTAAATTGATTTTACTGCTGTATTTCTACACAAAATCTGATAACAATCAGAGCTAAAATCGTGCACGTCCGTTCATGGCGGCGTCGTATATAGGAGGCTGGGATGGAATAAACTGCACACACGTCGTCTTCTAGCACAAAGCACTATGCTCTTTAAAATACACCACCAGCTAGTCAACATTTGCCTTCCTCACCTCATAACCAAAGCTACATACATCAGCAGAAGAGACCACACACTCAAGCTCTCTGTTCCTGTGGCAACAATAGACTCCTACAAGTACTCATTTTACCCCCGCACCATTCGCATCTGGAATCAACTACCAGCCACTGCAGTTACTGCCCCAACAGTTGCTGCTTTCCAGATGACCGCCCTCCCTATCATCAGAGGGTTGGAACCTCCTGTAGGTTCCAGAATGCTGTTAACCATATAGCAGCATGATTTTTTTACTTGCACGTCACTGTTTTACTGTACTATAAAGAAATTGTACACCCTTTTGTTGTCTGCACCTTCACCTGCTGTCACAACACATCCCATCCCAGTATAGCTTGGAAAAGCTGCTTCAGGGATTACCTCATCAAGTATCATAGCATTTGCCTGTTTGGCAGCCATATTAGATTTGACCATTGTAACAGCCCAAAAGAGACCTCATATCAATGACTGAACATCATATTCAGATTTGCTGACCCTGAAACCCCCATATTTCGAAAAAAACTTTTACTTGTCTAGCTCTTTTTCCTATGAAACTACACTTGACCTTTAACTCAGATGGCGGCCATTTTGGATTTGACCAGTATGACCAGTATGACAGTCCCAAAGAGACCTCAAATCGATGAAAGGACTTGCTTATCAGATTCTCCGACACCGAAAACCCCATAAATGTATAAACATTTATCATTCTAGCCCATTTTCCTTTAGTAACTACACTTGACCTGTAACTCAGATGACGGCCATTTTAGATTTGACCAATCTGACCAGTATGACAGCCCCAAGAAGACCTCAAATCGATGAAAAAACATCATAATCAGATTCTCCGACCCCCAAAACCCCATAAATATATAAACTATTATCATACTAGCCCTTTATCTTTTGGAACTACGCTTGACTTTTAACTCAGATGGCGGCCATTTTGGATTTGACCAATATGGCGGTCCCATGGTAGAAATCGTAATAGTATGGTATAAGCTGCCTCTGGGCCAAATTTGGTGCTTTTAGAAAAATCTGCACCAAAATATCCCTAACAGCCCCCACTATAAACAACAGGGCTGGGTTCTCATTATTATAAAGAAATTGAAGGACACTGATTCGTCACTACTTATGCGTCATTATTAGCCAAGTGATAAATACATTAACATAAATGAATAAACCAAGCGGAGATGACCTCACTCAATAATATCATGCGCATGCTCGAAGCTGATCTGCGTTTTTTTTTTTCGTTCTTGTTGCGAGAAAAGTATATATGAATATAGGAAGCATCGAACGAAAAATGAATAATTCATGACCTTCGAGCGCGTTGAAAGCGTGTTCAAATGTCTGACATATATCATATTACAGTATGTTCTTCTTTATTGTATTCATACTTCTCATCAGTTAGCCAATAGAAAGCCAGGTAAACCCCTTTTCAGGTACTTCTTCAGGTAAACTTTAAAGAGCTATGCAGCCCAACACGAAGAGAAGGTTGATTTGTATACATTCTAGCTGTACACAAATTATTTCTTGATATGGGTACACTTTAATGCAAATCATCTCAACGAGCATTTAGACACGCTAGAGCAAATTACCTTAACCCACTTATTGTTGTCCTTAAAGGCGGCGACCCATGCACCGACGTTTGACCCTGCAACGGCAACTTCATTAAGCCTTCCTCTGTAAGGTTCATGGCCAAAACCCCAGATCGATGACGAGGTCAGACTAGAGTCTGGTATCCGACCATCTTCCACTCCAAGCCCCGCACCGAGGACAGATGGAGTGCAACCAAGTTTCACATCGAGGTTCAACGACGCTGCAAAAAAGAAAGGAAAAATAAGACGTAGACACCTAACTGACCTTACAACTAACTTTCTTATTTTACCTACTAATTTCCAAGGCAAGGTTGTCCTTTCAATATATCTTTCCTTAAATGTAAACCAGAAATCTACACTGTCAACAAGCCATATGACGTATTAATAAAAAAAACAACGAGCAAGGAATAGAAAACAAAACAACAAATGGAGAAGAAAAAAAGGGAAGGGAAACAATTAGTTAATCTACAATAATTATCATGATTATGAAAATACAGTTATGTTGATTTTTCACGCATTAATAAAACACCTGCCATGGGTCCACATGAGTTATTTTTAGCAATATTTTCCTGTATTTGCTTGAGCATGAGTGTGAGAGGATGATTATTTAATCACGTACAATATTCATGTTATAACAGATGGGGGCCGGCCTGTCTGGGAGTTCAACCCGCAACATCTCGTAACCCAAACGAGAATGCCCAATTGATGGAAAAGCCTGGGGGGAAAGATAACAATTAATTCTTAAGAGATACCTTTCAGCAATTGCCGATGATATTGAATTAATCTTTGCATACGCAGTTGACGGAATTTGATCAAATTATCACCGTATTCGTTGAAATCTTAAAGAAATGAAACCCTACCACAACACGCGGGGCCCACTATTGGATATTATCGGGAAGATTCTATGTGCTCTGGGTATTATTTGCTTACACCAGACAAGGCGCCAATACCAAGTGACAAGTTTAAGCATGTCGCACGCAGCGAAATTCGCTGGCCCACCTGGAAATTTCTTGAACTTACCTTCGGGCTCGGCAAGGATTCGGGTTGAGTTCAACCCATCGCACGGTATACGATCTGACTACGACCCTATTTTGGAAGTGTTTGCACGAGGATCCGAATAGTCATATGAATAATCAAATCTAAATTTCGAGGGATTTGAAACTTTCTTGAGGGAGGACAAGCTAAATCGGCTCAGACTCGTAGTGACGTCAGGTCATAACATCACATTATGGCAGAAACTTTCCGGAGTCAATTATAAAATGTTGGCCTTGTACAACAAAACAATTGATATAAACTCTGTGGTTTTGGAACGATCAAAATGTGGAGAACAAATGTACACACATAAATGGGTAAATGGGCCTGCACACAAGACAGTGTTTCGTCCAGAGTTTCTAAGTTTTAACCATTTCTTGTAGAATGATGAGAGCATTTTAAGAGCAATGCAGTTCAGGGGACAATTCTACTATAATATTCTCCCCAACTGACATACTAAGAGAAGGCAAGCTCACTATTATATATTTTTCTTCAGCACTGTACCGATATATATATATATATATATATATATATATACCTTCTCTTCTGTAATAGTCCTCCTCTCCACCTACCTATGTCATCAATGAGAGTTCGTGTTATCATTTGTACCAGAAGTAAACTTTCCATTTTATTATTGTGCACTAACCTATGGCGTCAGTTAGAGGTCCGTACCCATATAGTTCCATCCTCAAAGAAACGCGACCTAGATTGGTCTTTGGATGGATCCGGAAAGAGCGTCCAACTATCGGCCTGGCAAGCGTGTGAGTCACATGGCTATCACGGTCATAATTTCCTGCAAATATCTAAAAAAAAAAAATATTTGATAAGAATGATATTAATTAATATTACAAAGAAAACTCAATCTTAATTTAGCTCATTGTTAGTTCATAAGGGTTTGCCCCCCTCCCCTTGCTTACAAATACCTGAATCTTCCTTTGAAATATCACACTTACCACACTTGCACCTTATTCTTTTTAAACCATGCTAGCCCTCATATCTCGCCATGCTCGCTCTCCTCACAAGTACGAGCATCTCCATATTCGACATGGGTCTCCCCCTCAAGTACATCAATCTCAAATCCTTTACCTGTCTCTACCCCTGTCTCACTCACTGTCTTCAAACTTTTCAAAAAGCAAAAACAAAAAAACAATAATAGAATTAACAGTGGGACCTCGTTATATCAAAACATTGTTTTATAAACTTTTACTTCAGCAAGACAATCCAAACGAATTTATTCCATAATAATATATACCATTTTGTGTTTGTTTTAAATTTTAATTTGTTAGTCTTTTGTCAGCCCTGGCACAAAGAAGTTGTATTATAGCAATCAATTTTCTATAGTCCCATGGAGTTCTTACGTGGTTACGCTGTATATTTCTGAACATAATGACCACTGATTGATTGGTTTTTTAATGTAATTGAGGAACCGCAGTTTGGGAATTACCTTAACTGATCCAGAGTATACATTCAAATAATCAGTCCAAGCCGTGCTGTCCAAACTAGACGAAAAGGTGTATGACGTCACCCACTGTTTGGCTTTTGTTCTACCCTGGGTCGTTATGGCCGTTACGATATAACTAGACTCGAATTGGATCTGCATCCATTGGTATTGGTCGGACAAGTTTGGGATCCAGGCTGTCTCAGAGTTCAGGCGGCCAAAACGGCTGCAGTAGGGCGCCGAATGGCAGGATGATTCGGAGAAAGCCGAATCGGGAAGAGCACCACTTTCAAGGCCGAGTGGTTGACCAGATATATTACACGGGTTCACTGTTAGAAATAAAGACAAGAAATAATAAAAGCATATTACAGAATGAAACGTCAGAGGCCTAAAAGTGGAAACGAAACTCGAGAGTAAAAATTGTATTTTACACCATAGCATAAAAGTCATAAAAACGTAAATATACGCGGTGTTGCAAAAATGCAACTAGATGATTTCTTAAAAAGCATTATAATAATAATAATAATAATAATAATAATAATAATAATAATAATAATAATAATAATAATAATAATAATAGCCCAATAGTCTACTCCAAATTTTATTAAACCGAAACGGAAATTCTTTTTGCCCAATTGATCGTGAGCCCGGCAGCCACTGAGCAGCGCCAGATCGACGTTGCTCTATCCCTTAGTGTTGAACGCCAAACAAGGTAGCAACATCTCCAATCTTTTAACGTCTTTTGGTATGACGCGGCCGTCCTCGGTGAAATTTTGTAGGTGAGTGTTTTGCATTATCCCCTAGCCTCTCCTTAAATTTTACAAGGATATACAATCTAAATTAATACTAAAGAAATCACATTACTTTTGCAAAAGGTATACTTTTTCAATGTTTAAAAAGAAATCACATTAAATAGCATTACGTACTTGTTCTATTCGTTTATATTTCAATCATTAAGACAAGCAATATACTGTAGGAAACACAAGGCATTGTTTTAAAGAAAAAAATAAAATTGTATTTCGTATTAAACACTTATGTTTAATATTGGTTTAATAGCAACAAACACTGAAGACATTACGTTCAGATGTGTGTGTAAATGATATCAAGTTTAATTCTTAACCCCTTTTGTATCATTAATTGATGTTAATTTGAAAGCTTGCAATAAAACGTTCAGGTGCCAGGTGTACGCTAATTTTACGATGATGCTAATCAATGCACTTTCCTCGTTACAATGACTTCCGATATTAAATAAATTCGTTATCAGTGTAATATTGTACTCATGAGCTTAAGCTATAGTCACAACCCCAACAAGTAGCCTGCTCCACGGCCGGGCGGCGAGTTTTTAGCCAAATTCGTCCGGGCACCGCTTGTTTTTAGCGCATCGCTCGGTCACCACTGAAGTTTTAGCGCGGAGCTAAAATTCGGGCGGCGCCAGCTCGCTTTTACTCGCCGCCCGAAATACGCTCGATGCCGTGTCGCCGTCTAGCGATTTAGGTCAAAAATCGAAAACGTTAGGTCAAAGGCTGCCGAGCGGTCGCCGCCCAGTCGCCACCCGCTCACCGCTGGGAGATCAGTCGGTCACTGGGAGGCGTGTTCACAATCGGTCGGCGTCCGCGGCGAGAGCCAGCTAGATTTACCGAGGTGTCTGCCCGATCATGGCTAGGTATATAAGGCGCTGCTCAACGCGATCCAAAAGGGACAACAGCTAGATTTCTATCCGAAGTTTGTTTCACTGAAAAAATGCCCAAAACATGCAAAACAACCAAGGGGCAAGTGGGGGGAAAAGGAGCTTGCCCGTGAGAAATTCCCGGCGGAGTTCGGCGGGCCGCCGCAGTCCGCCTACGAGACACCCGCAGATGCCCCGCCGATCACCGGCCGGTCGTCCTTTAAATCAGCCGGTGGCCGGTAGGAGACCGCCCGGGAATCGGTTGATCATCAGTCGTTCACTGCCGGGACACAGCGCGGAGACCTAAAATCGGCCGGCGATCCGTCCATCGCCGCTCTGAGTTGTGACCATCGCTTTAAATTAATTAATTTAATAATGTTCAATGATTCTATTCTTGCACATAGTCTGTTATTCATGTATTTGTAGCAAATTTTACAGTTTCTTTTACTTTACGTATATTATTTCCTTCATGTTTGTATTTGTATTTTTATTTGAAATCCAACTTCAAGTTTTAGTTGCAATAAAGAAAAAATATATTAAGAGTTGGAAAATGCAAATTTTCATACAAAAATGATCGTATATGTAATAGTTTTTTTTTTTTTTTTTAGCTTGAATTCTTTTGGAATTCACAGCACCACAAGGGGATACTATTAAAGGTTAACAGCGAATTTTCATCAAGGATGTTCGAGCATTTTTAAGATGTTGCCAATCAAAATATTTACTATTTATCACTATTACTATTGAAAGTATTAATATTATCATTATAAGCATTATTTTTTGTTTATCATGATTACTTATATTATGATTATAATTATCATTTCTCACCGGGGCAACACGCAATAGATATTATTTCACTCTCGTTTATCCGTCCCACTTTAGTCTCACTGTACCAGCAGTCGGTAATGTTTGTGGCGTTTGCAGGACATATCACTGATTCGGCTTCAGCAGGAGCATCGACGGACGAGTACTCGTACAGTGGACCGCTCAGCGTCGCAAATACTCCTTGTTCAATAAATTCAGAATACAAAGTAGAATACCAGAGTAGTCAAAATATCATTTTGAAGATAATAAATGCAAACCGCAACAAAACATTAACTGTATCAGGTAACACCAAAACTGATTTGCGATGACATACACCATATACAATTTGGCGGGTAGGCTCCCAAAAACAAGAGTTTTGAAACTGGAAAGGATAAGAGAGGGATTCAGGTTGAAGAGGGAGAAAATCAAAAAAATCATGGAATTTAAATCTCCAACTTGACCAGAATATATAAACTCCTGATCATGACACCAGTATTTGATGATTCTTAAAAAAACTAAAGGAAATACATCAATATTGTACCATAAAATAAGTTAACAATAATCATATTTCAAACCAAGAAAACAGAGTGTATGATAATGTTTGTAAAAAGACTCAAACGCTTCCATGGAATCTTAAAAATAAAGGGAAACAATAAAGCAAGTCCACACTTTAAAAAAATTTGGGTACATTTTAGCATCAGATGGGAAATGTATTCATGAGATAAATGAAAGGATTGCAACAGCGAAGGGTACATTCGATCAAATGAAATCCGTAATAAAAATAATAAAACATTGTCAAGAAAACGGGTGTCAGCGTTGGACAATAAACAAAGAACTTTAGAGAAGACTAAAGGCCACAGAGACTTGGTTCTTGAGAAAGATTATGAATATATCATGATCAGAAAAGAAAACAAATGAAGAGGTGTTCAGAAAAGAGGCAAATCCTGTTGTTGGTCACATCATACGGAAATGATAATGTAGAAAAAATTTATAATATTAACAGGGAAGATTGTTGGAAAGAGAAGCAGTGGAATGCAACGCCTCTCATAATTGCAAAGCCTGAAAAAAACTGACAATAGACAGAAATGGAGGGCCATTAAGATGATAAGGATAATGTCTTACCTTCAAACCCTAGATACTGACATGCCAATTGAGATAAGCTCATGTTCCAATGATCTTGATGTACCAGCACGTACGTGTTTGGACTGGAGCGGGACGTTAAAGCAAGTGTTCCTTCATTTATCTTTTCACCGAGAAGCTTTAACGAATGGATGGTTACATCTATATAGTTTACAATCAAAATAAGACAGATATATTGAGGGGAAAAAGAAAGACAATGGAAGTTATTTAGTGACCAGGGAAAAACAAGTTTCTAACGAGACTTTACAGCGATGCGAAATGTCTTAAATATTTTATTTTTTCAGCTCTCCCATCAAACCTGAATATACAAATTGGTTTTGCGTAGGGCGCTAAATTTACCAACTTAAATTTACATCATAGTCACTAAGCACTCAAACCTTAGTCGTATTAGAACACGTGTTGTGTTGGTGTGAATGCAATTATTGAATAGTTGATTAAAGATTTGTGATCTACCAATCCTCTATTTACAGGGCCATCTGCTAGGAATAATGGGATGTTAATACATGTATGTAGTTAAATTTAAACGTGAGTTTCACGTTGGACAAAACGTAGGGAAAGGCCCACAATCAAAGAAAGAGGTGTTACTATTACGTTACACTAGGGATACTTTACTGTATTAAAAATGGATTACAATGAAATTTCATTTTAGCACTTCATCAAATCGTATTTTTGGAGTCCCTATGATATCCCCCCTCTGAACGCTTGAAGAACCACGGTGGATCACAATACGACCGCATTTTTAAATGATTGTTTTTATCATACCACACAAAACAAGTAGATTATTTCAAATACAGTAAAACCTTTCAACTGAGGGCACCCAAGGAAACACTGGCCATTGTAAACAGGTGGCCTTTTTAGGCAGGTTCTATATTAACACACTTTTCGTCCTGAAGGGAGACAAACTACATGACGACTATAGACAGGTGACGTTATAGAGAGTGAGCCACTATTAAACTGGTTTGACCGTACCTCTTCTTTTGTATACTCGATGTATATCATGGTGGACTTCAAACCAGAGGCTGGTAAATTCTGTATCGCTATCCTCACGAGTACATGTAGAAAAGGGTTCAACAAGTGCTTGTCCCTCCCCCTTTAAAAAAAACCCCTCTGTATCCGCCTCTGTCTCACTTACCCTCCTCACACCTTTCATCAATAGAGCCATCTAAACAGAAGAACTTAATCCAATTTCGCTCTCCTCATCGAGTACCATGTAAGACAAGATTTCGACCAGGGTTTGCCCCTTTACCCTCCGAATAGAAGACAATAAATCCCTACTCCGTTTCTGCTTCTGTCTTACCATCCTCATATCTTTCACCAAGATAGTTTTCGAAGCAGAGACAGTGATAACTGTCTTGCATTTGTTTACACGTTCCTCCATGCAGACAAGGGTTGCCCCCCCCCCCCCTCTACTCACTTACAGATACCTGACTCTGCCTTTGCAATGTCGTACTTACCACTCTTGCACCTTATTCTTGTTTAACCATGCTAGCCCTCTTATCTCGCCATGTTTGCTCTCCTCACAAGTACAAGCATCTCCATGTTAGACAAGGGTCTCCCCTCCCGTACATACATCCCAAATCCTTTACCTGCCTCTACCCATGACTCACTTACTTTCTTCACACCTTTCACCACGGTAGCGCTCTAAACAGAGACAAGTAAATCCTGTCTCCGTCTCCTCGCAAGTGCCTCCATGAAGACAAGGGTTTGAGCGGCATGCTGGTGACAGAAATAAAAACATTGATATAAAAGTGAATACCAGAAGGTCTAATACATTCATAAAAACAGTTTTGTAGAAACAGGGGACACGAGGGTTTATGTCTCAACCAGTGGTTAAGAAATCAAAATAAATAAGAAAGCGAGAAAAGAGAGAAATAAAAAGGAGGTGACAGGAATTAAAACAAATACGCTTAGAACACTAGATCCCCCTAAACAGTAGCCTTGTAAGTTCTTATTTCGTTTTTAGAGTAAGTCCAATGCCCCTTCCCCCTTCCACCTAAACCAACAAAAGTGCCGGAGCTGTGCCTTAATTTTAATTCAAATTGACAAATGACCCACCATATTTGGGTTTCCGACACAGCTTCCAGTAAATCTGTGATTAGTTGTGCGTTATTTATTGATCATGTTTTTATTCAAATTTCATATAAAGGAATTAAAAAGAAATAAAGAAATCAGTATCATTATTATAGAAGCAATGGACTATTACTTTCGCGGTTGACATGTGATAACATTTGTAAAAATGGAAAGCTTGAGAGGATTACCAACAAGGTGGCACATGGGGCACGTGTCCCCTTAGTAAAAAGGCAGAAAAAAGAACGAGGAAAAAAGAAGAGGAAAAAGTGAATAAGAGAACGGAGAGGGAAAACGAGTAAAGAGTAGATATAACAACCCATCAGAAGCCCATCATTATGATTAATGACCTAACACTGTGCTTCTTCCACCGAGTAAGTTTGGGTCACCTACTTGTTTACTTACACTCATATACATGCTCTCTTAGCAGTCAGGTAAAGCACTAACCAAACATCATCAAAATATTGTATTATTGTAGATTTAGCATTCGCTGAATGAGGGAGAAATTCATCTAAAATATCCCCTGGAGTTTAGCTTTAAACAGAATCTCTCTAAAAAAGGAAACACAGGTTTGTTGTGAATTAATAAAGCAATCCAAATTATCTTTCTATAGCTTGTATTTCACTGGAAGCTCATTTCCTCTTTTTTAATATGACACCAGAACCATGATCACTTAGTACCGATTTCAGACAGTCTAAAGTAAAATTGTCAGACACCCAATTGTCCGAATGAGCAGATAGCTGCCACATTTGGTTCGTTTTACTTTTATTTAGGAGAGGAAAAGATATGGAAATAATTGTCATTGGAGATACACATGTTGGCAATCTAATCACAATGGAATAATCACACTAGGACCGAGAAGGCACAATTTGTAATGGGTATGAGTATGATGATGGGTATGGTTATGAATGGTTGACTTGACATCATCATTGAGCCCTTAAGCTCCCTCCCCTGTAGAACAGCTACGTCATTATGGACGTGTAATTAGCACAATACACTTTAGTAAATTAAATGTATACATCATACATTATACCGAAATGGATTCACAGCCTTTTAAGTGTAAATTTGTCATGTGTTTTGGAAAATTAAAGCAGGTTTTTCGGTCGGCGACTTTGTAAAGGGTGTATTATGCAACGTAATCATGCTTCAATAAAGAGAGGAATTAATTTATGTGGGCGTGATTCATTATATTTCAATTGCAGTCGAAATTTTATTTTCGTCTGAATCATTATTTATTATTTATTGTTTCCCTTACTTATTTTAGCTTCTACCTGGTTTTCCGTACGATACGTCAAAGATAGCTTGTTTAAATCTAATGAAATTCGATGCAATGTTAGATGTAGTTACTCGCCCTGTACTGGATTTTGTTTTCCCTTCAAGTTGACATTTTCATTGTACAGGACATGTGTAAACAACTAGCAAATATGTGTCAAAAGACCCCTTCAATAAACTGTCAAACCGAAAAGAAAATGTATTGTTATATCAAATACTTTCCTTGGTTCAAGTAAGTTTCAAGCATTGGTTCATCTAATTTTCTTTGGGCAAAAAAAAATCATAGTACAAAATGCTTAGTTTATCATGTTTATAAAATATCAAGTCAACTGTTACTTGATAATTGAATTCACACTTTTCCTATATATGTCACAGGTTCATTTGAAAATTTAAGTTTAAGTTGATATGTATCTAGTATGCATTGGACATTTAGTGGAAAAGGTATTTTTAAAAGTTGACAAGAGCCAATTGAACTAAGAAAGCTTGCAAAATGGAACAGCACGAGACAAAAAAAGCCCGGAAGGCAAAAGATGAAATGTTTGGTGATATCAGAAGTAATTCTTGATTATCCAGGAAAGCCTTTTCAGCCTTAATGCTATTCTTCCTTGGGGCCCAGCAATTATCCTACAGTTATCAATGACAAAAGATTACTCATTTACATCTGGGTGGAGTTGGACAATATGTCTTGCCAAAGCACATTTTAGTGCCGGGCTAGGATTCGAACCCTCTACGGTTGGTTTGAGAGTCAATCTAATTAGCCACTATAATTATCCCGACACCTCGTATCGGTGAATACATGATTGTCAATTATATTGAAAGAATGACACTTTCGGTAATATTATGCCTGGTCACAGTAGAAGTGCAATTCACAAGCTCTGATCTGTGTCATAATAAAAAGGATCTTCTTCTTCAGTGCTATATATTATTCCGAAAATAGCGTAGAACCATGTATCGTTATATGTATTTTCTTGAATAAAGATGAGAATTACAACCCTTCAGAATAATGATACCTCTTTCAACCATGGAATTAGGAACCCCCTGGTGTGGAGAAATTCGATGTTTTTTCTCGGAAGTAGTAAACTTCCAGGTTATGAACCTTCAGAAATACGAGGCCTCCCCCTTTTTCCGTGCCACCTCATTTCGGGGATTTGGCATGTAAATTCTACCTGGTTCGGTGCAATAGTAACGTCGGACATCATCAGGAATCGGGACATCTGTTGGGAGGTCGGATATTAACCAGTCTAGATCGGGTTGCATGGGTTTCGGGATCAATTGTACAGTCTCACCGCTCTCCAGAGTAATCACAGGACATGACATCATGGACACATGAGGACAAACGTCATGTACGTCATATGATGCTACGATAAAAATTAATGAGAGAATGAATAGCTTAATAAATAAATCGATGAATAAATCATTAAACGAATTGATAAATATATAAAAGTAAACGTCAATTAATACATATCTGAATAAATGACTACACAATTAGAAGAATAAACGATTGAACAAATAATCAAATAAATATTAATAAACATCAAAAGCAAAATGACTGAGCTATGTACGAGTTATGCAAATGTAAAACATGTACTACTGGCGGGACTCGAACCGCGGACCTTGTGATCCACAGTCTGGTAACGTATCTACTAGACCACGACACAAGTAATTAGTCGTTATACTCTAGATTAT